GGCTACAGACTAACACGGCTGCTACTCTGAAACCTGTCATCTTTAACCTGGTGCTTTTCCAGTGGGCGGGGGGGAGGGGGGGTGGAAACCCAGAGGGACAAAAGGTTCCCACCTTATGCAAAAGATATATAAAGGGGTGGAAGAGAACAAGGGGTGAGAGGAGCCATCATGAAGAATCCCCTAGTTATCACCTGAGCTGCAATAAGAGCTGTTCCAGGGGAAAGAATTGTGCCCAGGCCTCGAAGGTGTCCAGTCTGAGCAAAAACTTATTGAAGCATCTCTGAGGGTGAGGTTATCTGTGTTCAGTTTGACTAGGCATAGATTTGCGCATTTTATTTTATTTTGCTTGGTGACTTACTTTGTTCTGTCTGTTACTACTTGGAACCACTTAAATCCTACTGTCTGTATTTAATAAAATCACTTTTTATTTAGTAATTTACTCAGAGTATGTACTAATACCTGGGGGAGCAAACAGCTGTGCATATCTCTCTATCAGTGTTCTAGAGGGCGAACAATTTATGAGTTTGCCCTGCATAAGCTTTATACAAGGTAAAATGGATTTATTTGGGTTTAGACCCCATTGGGAGTTGGACATCTGAGTGCTAAAGACAGGAACACTTCTGTGAGCTGTTTTCAGGTAAACCTGCAGCTTTGGAACAAGTGATTCAGACCCTGGGTCTGTGTCTGGAGCCAGACGGGAGTGTCTGGCTCAGCAAGACAGGGTGCTGGAGTCCTGAGCTGGCAGGGAAAACAGGAGCAGGGGTAGTCTTGGCACATCGGGTGGCAGCTCCCAAGGGGGTTTCTGTGATCCAACCCATCACACACCCAACAAAATTAATTATACAGCAGACAGAAACAATCACAGAACCAAACAGAGATTACACGGACAAACAATAGGGAAGTGATAGAACAACACAGAATTGAGGATTTCACACCCCAGCTATTGATGAGTTCTTTTCAGACAGGATGCTATCACACTAAGGTTTGTTTTTAAATCTTCTAGGCTCTTCCCTTTCTCTGGAGGTGAAAAATTGGATCACCTTTTTAACAGCCCCAAACTGCCTTATTTCCGTGTGACTGGTGAGGACGTGACCATTCACTTCCCAGCTTATGGCTGCCTTTGCTGCTTAGCCAAAGGCCTGAGAACAGGGCCTCAGACTGTCAGGGTGAGACAAGGCCCAGACACCGGCCGACTGTGAGTTTGAGTCTTGTTTTGTAGCTCTGTAACTAGCTAAGGGATAACAATACACCTACATTCTTAAAGTATGGGCCTTTGCAGACAGGCCTGAATATCTATAGCCTAACACTCCACCCCTTTTTTTTCATTTTCTTTTGGGATCCTTCTGCCCAGGTATCCCTGGAAAAGCATAGGACATAGGGCGACACATTTTTTGATAGGGCCAGGCACTAAGGTGGAAGGTGTTGATATTTTATTTGTTTTACTGCCTCTTTGTGAAGTATAGTGCCCTGCACCTTCTCTCGTACGGGCGTACCACATCTGTTTTCATTAGTGTTTCAGACTTCCCATTATAGTGGGCCCGAGAAAGTTGGGTTCGGGTTGTTTGTCCTGCCTGGGAAGCCTGTCCTAGTAGCGGCCGCGACCCGCGTGGGGGCAGTTTGGGTTTCAGGCCCTGGCGGAGCCCAGTGTGCAGACTCGGTGCGGGGAATCAGGGCAGAGGCAGCCCCCTGTGTCAGGATGGAGGGGCCGGGCTGTGTCAGGGTGCGGGGTCTCCTTGTTCAATGCGTTTCCCTCCCTCTCTAGGTCTCCACCATGAGCGAGATGAAGAGCTACTCACAGGCTATCACTGGAGTGTGTGTGTAACCCCTACTCTCCTCTTAGGGCTGGGGGGTGGGGTAGCCCCACAGAACTGCCCTGGGATGGGAGCGGCCAGTTTGAGGGAACCATGGGGTGGGAGGTTGGTGCGCTTACGTGAGTCTAAATCACTAGCTAGTGCTACATGGTGGGTGAGCTCTCCACCCTCTCGTGCACCTTGCCCTGGCCCCGCCCCTGGGGCTCTGCCCAGCTGGCCCCCTCCCCTTGGGCATGTTGTGCCCACTGCCCTACCCGTCCAGCCCGTATCTGTCCTGAGCCTGGTCTCTCTGGTGACCTGGGAAGAGAAGGACAAAGACCTCCTTGCCCAGGAGAAAGTCAGTGAGTGCCAGCGAGCTCCCTCTCTGGGCAGGGCCCGTCTGAGACACCCTCCCTCTCCATTCCTTGTGCTCCGGCGGCTGCGGTGCTCCGTGCGGGGCTGTGGAGCCAGTGCCCCGCCCTGCTAACTGTGGCCCATCTCTCGTGCCTGCAGTTCTTCGCCAGTATGCTGACGTACCCCTTGTGCTCGTCTCCAACTGTGGGGAGTGCCCCGCAAGCCGTCCCGAGCCAGCTGCAGCCTCCCCCGCTACGCAAGGGCGTCTGCCCCACCTCTGAGGAGCAGGGGATGCAGCGGCTCCTGTTCAGGAGACAGGGAGATGCAGCATCTCTCCCCGCCCACATCCTATAGAGTTTGCTCTGGGATGATGATGTTCCGGCCCTTCGGGGGCTGGAGAGAAACCCTTCAGAGGGGGAGCGGAGCTGCCGTCAACGGCTGCTGATGTGGAATGTGAACAGCTGGCACCGGCAGGTGAGAGCGCTCTGCCCTGCCCGGACATGGCACCGGGTGGGCGGCTGGGGACGCTGAAGGCTGGCACGTTCAGATACAAGGAGGTGGCTTTTCCCCCAATGTGTGAGGGGCCTGTGGAACTCACTGCCACAGGAGGGAGCTGAGGGAGGTTCAAAGAGGGACTGGACCGTTTGAGGGAGAGCACGGCTAGCCAAAGTTGAGGGGTGCTGAACCTGCTTTGAGCTAGAGCCCGTCCCCCAGGGCTCGTCTACACAGGGAAGCTGAGCCGCAGCGATGAGTGAAAGTGGCAAAAACCCGCATGTGGCCATGCTCAGACTGGGGAATCGGAGCATACACGGGTCTGGGAAGGGAAAGGAGCCGCACCAGGGAGAGGCACCGTCCCCCCGGGTAGCTGCAGCCCTGCTGGGCCTGGCGCTGGGAACAAATCACCCCCCCACCTGCAGTCACCCCCGGTGAAACACCTCTGGGGCTAGCGACTGGGCGGCAGGGTGGGATGCGGGGACAGATCATCCCGTCTCTGCTGCAGGTGGCAGAGCCGCGATCCTGGGCTCCGGCCCCGTCTGTCCCCCCTCCCAGCCTGACGTGGAGCGAGTCCTGGCTGTGCTCGCAGCTCGCCCCCCGCCCCTCG